GATACTTGCCAGTATCTTACGTACACGCTTGGATGCATAATGTCAATCGGCATATATATATGTAATACATATATACTTACAAAACTTTTCTGTTGCAAAATACATTAACATCATATACGTATCACCTAGGAACTCGTCTTGCCTAAACTATTTGTGTGTAAATGTGACTCGTCTAAGGTACTGTATTCAGTCGAAAAACAATGTTATCATAACTTTAAATAGCTTGTATAATAGCCCGCTAATGTTTATATGTCGATATTTCTGGTAAAACACGGGTTGAACCCATTATTTTCATTCCCATCGATTTGATATCATACAAGTAACCCGAAAGCCAAGATGTATCGAAGCTTCGGCTGTTAAAATATGTGCTAAAGAAATGTTAATAGTAACCATAAACCACATGAAAAACAAAAATTTGTTGTTGGATTTGATTCGTTGCCTGCCACTATTTTAGTCCTGATTTAGTGTTAGTATTTATTCTAGTGTACGTTATTTTGGTTTCCATAGTTAGCCATTTGACTTTATCTACCGAAGCCTCTGGTGGCTCAGCGGTTAGCCCGAGAACATAATTTTAAAAGAATCGGGTTTAGATACCCGCAGTGGACTTAGCACAGATAGCCCATTGTATAGCTTTGCGCTTAACATCAAGTAAACGAACTCATTAAGTGATGAATGCTTTTTTTTTACGATATTTAGAAATTAATTATTCTGTAAGATAGAAAAAATAAGAATTAAAACCTTATAATTATAAAACAAAAATTTTTAATTATCTTTATTTTTATGAAAAGTCTATCAGCTAGCTAATGGCTAAAACACTCTACTGAAAATGTAAAGAAAAGCAACCATTGTCAGCTGTACATTTTATACAATATTTAATGAAATTAGATTTCTTCAATATTTATATACGTAGGTCTAAAGTTAATATCTGAAGCGTATATATTATAAAGTAGATTCCGCCATCCTTTCCATACTGTTTTACTTCTGTGTGAATGCTTTCCTGTTTCGTTAATACACTTGAAATATATGTTAAATTCCTCCATACTTTCCATACTGTTTTATTTCTGTGTGAATGCTTTCCTGTTTTATTAATACACTTGAAATATAAATTATATGAAATGTGTTGTACAGAATTAACTGTTAAATAATGCTATCATGTACAAGTCCTGCTTTTTAAGATTCCATCTAGTGTCAAACACGCAAGCTGACTATTTTTGGATGAACTTGATAAGGATTCATACAAGTTTATGTAGTTTTATTGTTAAGTGTATCAGTGTAAAAAAAAGTAAATGTACTACAACATGTGGTCATGAAAGTCATAATTCTTATTCTCACTTCTCAACTGAAACTTTTTCAATATTTACTCTATTATCGGACATTCCACATTGATATACATTATTCAATCGGGAATACTCAAGTGATTAGTTTGCAGGGCAGTGGATGGGAGGGTCCAAATTTTGAGTCGTAAAATATAACTCAACATATTCCACACTTAATAATGGTGTAATTCGCTGTATGTAAATGACGTATTGTCAGATAACAGTGTTAATCTATTGTTAACGTATTGAAAAAACAACTGACGAACACATGTCATGCTGTATATATATAAACTTCCTGAGGAGGGGTGTTGGCCCTATGGAAGAGCCCTGGATTTCAGAGCTGGTAACGGGTTCGAATCCATATGATGCCATAAAATATTCCCCGTATTTCTGGATGTGTAAAGAGAGTAATAGTCAATTCGATATTAGTGGATTGCAGGGTGCTCCTGGTTGTTATAACCTGGTTGTTATAGTGGATTGCAGGGTGCTCCTGGTTGTTATAGTGGATTGCAGGGTGCTCCTGGTTGTTATAACCTGGTTGTTATAGTGGATTGCAGGGTGCTCCTGGTTGTTATAACCTGGTTGTTATAGTGGATTGCAGGGTGCTCCTGGTTGTTATAACCTGGTTGTTATAGTGGATTGCAGGGTGCTCCTGGTTGTTATTTCGCTATATAAACTTTTGATCGTGTCCAATGTTGTTTTAATATACCTGTAATTTCCGAAGTTTTACGAGGGTTTCTATATGCTGTCTTTTACACGATGTTTTAACTTATATTTATTTATATTTCATGTTGTTGTTTTTTATGAGTTCTCTTAAACATAAATTTCAAATTGAAATTATTTCCTAATTTTATCAAATATTTGTGAAGAACAAGTTATTGTATTGTTTGTTTTTTGTTGTTGTTAAACTATACAATTGACTATACCTGCTCTGCCTACAGCAGTTATCGAAACCCGATTTGTAACGTTATAAGCTCTCAGACTTATTAATAAGCCTCCGGGGGGAAGGGGGGTATTGAATTGGAAGTATATATATATATATATTTGTCTCAGGTGCCGAGCGTATAATTCTAATAATTATGCATGTTTTTCTTTGATGAAAAAAAAATCAAAATACAGCTGATAATGAGAATACATTTTTTTTTCTGAGTTAAAATAAAAATCAAACTGGATTGTCTCTTATCTAAGACTAATGGGAAATATACTAAAAACGAGTTGAAACACTAATTAACCATGTAGATATAAAACATTTATATCAGAGAATATCTAAAAGGTTCCAGCGATCTCATCCATCCTGTACTTGTATGGAAACATAATACGTTTTTCTTTCAGAACTGTAAGACATTTTTTTTACGCAATCTTGAAATTTTCTCTAGAATACGATTAAGAGCTGATTATGCTTAGATTTTTCTTGTATTTTATCAGAGACGTAGAGAAATTGACATTTCTAATTGTTTACAAATCAGGTAAATGAAGGTATTCTAACTAATATTATTCTGATTAAAAAAATGGCATAATCAGTTCGCATACTTGATAAACTTTCAATAATAAAGTTAGTCATTTCAAAAAGTAATTAAAAACTAAAATGTGTTAATTAGTAAATAAGGAGAGTTAACGTTTTCTGAGAGAAAGTAAATAATAAAGCACGTAAATTCATAATTTGTAAAAGCGAGAAGAGGCAGAAAAACATAAAAAACCGTACATTTCAAAACTGTTATCTCTTAGGAACACATGGCACATGGCTTCTCACTGGCACGGCGTTATTTCTACGGACTTACAACGCTAGAATCCGGGTTTCTATATCCGTGGTGGGCAGAGCACGGATAGTCCATTGTGTAGCTTTGTGCTTAAATACAAACAAACTTAGGAACACGGTATTTATTTTATTTATTACTCCGACTATCATTAAGTTAACGATATGTATAACTTCTGATCTAACTATTTTAAAAGCAAGAAAATATTAATGGGGTAAAAAAAAATCATTGATATTCAATTGTTTTATCAAATCAAGTACAGAAACATATAGTTATAACCGCATAGGTGACGAAGGTAACACAATTAAGTAATAGGTTGAACACCGTTGTAAACTGTACGATCTGACGGAGAGCTCTAGCTCCAAACGTCAACCTTCTTTAAATAAAAATATAAAAAACCTTGTCGATTGTTCCACCAATTAGTTAATTTTCAATTCAAATAAATAATCAGTTTAGCTATTTATTTGTTTCAGAATTACTGGAAGATATGCGCAAGAGTTACTGCGCATAGCCGTCCCTAATGTCTAACTGATAAATTAGAGAGAAGGCAGGTAGAAAACAACACCTACAACCATCTCTTGGGCTATTATTATCTGATAAATAGTAGGAGTTGACCATCGCCCACAGCCCTAAAGTGCGGAGATCGTTTTAGCAGCAACATATTGTGAGCCACGAATTTCCGGCTTTACTGACCAGGCATGTTATAATCACTAGTCCATGCTCGACCCAGAATTAATTTAGTAAGGAAAATTATTAAAGTCTCTCGATTACAGTAATCGTGTTAACCTTCGCTTATCATTTAAGTGGTTTGAGATGAAACGAAAGTAATCATAGCAATGAATGTTATAGTCTAAAAACGAAGTAAATGTTGTGAACGAGAAAGACATACGTTAGTAAAACAACAACATGGAAAAAAACATTCCATATTAGCACAAAATAGTATTTAATGAAAATATGATGTTTTCAATACAAAAACAAAACAAAGCACAAAATTTACAAGGTGAGACGAATATACAGTTAAAATAATACTTATAATCAGAACTACTAAATTTTATACTACCTTGGCATTAAGTTCCGTCATTGGAACCAGTAATTTGTGAGTAACTTCTTAAGGGCTTTCACAAGGATGTAATTTTACTGCAGGATAAATTAAATGGAGCATCATTTCAATACTTTCTGGGGATATCCGTTGGAGGTATTAGCCTCTCTTGTATTAGCCAGAGACAGGTAGCAAAGAAGCATACTCAAGCTACAACCCTTGAATTCCTTTGGCCGTGTAAGGGGTTACTGTGTATGATTGGTTTTGTAACTACGTCTATTGTTGTGGAGTGGTAACGTCATTGATTTTACTGTAACTTTCCAAGTCAAAAGTGAGTCTTCAACTTGTTATCAAACTTTGAAGTCAACTGACTACTTTCAACTCTTTAACTAAGAAGCTTTGTCTTTTTGTTGTGTAGTTTCATCTCATCATGGTTAATACAGCAGACAGCTGTCTTTCGTACACTACTCACCAGTTCCATCTTGTTTAATACCTAGTCAGTTGACTTCTGTACAATACCTGTTGACATCCGAACAATATTTACCAGTTACATCTTGTTTAATACCTAGTCAGTTGACTTCTGTACAATACCTGATGACATCCGTACAGTACTTACCAGTTACATCTTGTTTAATACCTAGTCAGTTGACTTCTGTACAATACCTGATGACATCCGTACAATACTTACCAGTTACATCTTGTTTAATACCTAGTCAGTTGACTTTGGAAAATTATATGTTGACTTCCGTACACTACTCAGAAGTTCCATCTTGTTTAATACTTCTGTACAATACCTGTTGACTTCTATACAACACTCACCAGTTACATCTTGTTTAATACTTAATCAGTTGACTTCTGTACAATACCCGTTGACTTCCGTACAATACTCACCAGTTTCATTCTGGTTAACACGCCAGTCAGTTGTCTTCCGTACACTACTCATCAGCTCCATCTTGGTTAATACACCAGTCAATTATTTTCCGTACAATACTCACCAGTTCCATTTTGGTTAATATGCCAGTCAGTTATCTTCCGTACAATACTCACCAGTTCCATTTTGGTTAATAATCGAATTGGTTGTCTTCATATAATACTGGTAAAAGTCACTATGATGTTCATGGACTAAACATTCATCCAACAAATGATTGAATAAAACTTGGTCTGACCATTTCCTGAGAAGATCTGGGTATTTAACGAGAATCTACCTGCCTGTCAGTTACAAAATTCATATCAGATCACCACTGTCTTAAAAATTGGCTGCTATGATCAACTAATATTTTGATATCATATGACGTAAAGAAATACAATGTCAAACAATCCCTGTGCTATTAGCTAAAAGTCCCAAATATGATCAAAGTATATTTATGTGTTTTGTCATATTGGTCTCTCTAGAAATTAGCTCGATAGTGAATGTATTTTATATTGTCTAAACCAAACCTTGCAGTCTCGTGTGTCCCTAGGATATATTATGTACAACAGTTAAATAACTTAGAGCACATTCATTTTTTTAATAATCTATAGCAAGAATTTGTTAAAGAAATATATATTTTTTATTTAAGAACAGACAAATAAGTGTTTCTCAGACATCTTTATTTTTAAAAACACTATATTTCACTGTGTTTACTTACTTTCCTAAAGCTTTGAATAGTATCGTAAGGCAATTAAAATTGTCAGGTGTTATTAGTAATTATATTACGTCATTAAACCATAATGTACTGTAAACCAACAATATAGCAAAGCATATAAATATATATCTGCACATCTGTGTATTTATTAATTGTTGGATTTTTGCTTTTTGATAAAGAGAGTTTCTTAACTTTTCTAAAAAATATAATGTTTTATTTGTCAATAATTTGAACATCTGAAAATTATGTTTGATCGTGTATTCGAATACACGAGAAACTTTCAGCTGTTTCTTCAGTCTTGTTGGTAGTTATTCGTTCGTTTCTACGATGTCACAACTATCACATATTCTGTTTAACATGTGAAACATCAGGAATGTGTAGCAACACACATTAAAGGGGAGGATGTTATAAAATCCAATTGTTCGTCTCTTCGCCCTGCAATTTGTTTCTTTTGTGATATAAGTTGAAATTTCAACACAATTTTCTCAGTTAGAACAGGAACAAATATTTTTAATTGTACAAAACAAATATTATAATCCCTAACTTATTTTAGGATCATTGAAGGAATTCTAATGAAGATGAACGTCTTAATGCATATCATTATGAAAAAATTTGAAATTCATGGTATCTTTCTCCACAAAAACATTTACAAATGAAAGCTTACCAACAATTTCATTTTGGACTGTGAACTTAGTGTTGGGATGGATTACGTTCAAATTTGAAAGAAAATTGGCAATACAATTTGAATCTGTAGAAACCTTTTAAATATCATCCACGTAAAGAATAGAAAAACGTTGGAATCGAGGGAAGTGGTAGTGGAATTTATTTTATCTTGATCATAAATACGTTGACTGGGTTTCCTATACTTAGATCTTCAATTTGGTCGTAAAATAATACCTTATAATCATCCACGTAAAGAATAGAAAAACGTTGGCATCGAGGGAAGTGGTAGTGGAATTTATTTTATCTTGATCATAAATACGTTGGCTGGGTTTCCTATACTTAGATCTTCAATTTGGTCGTAAAATAATACCTTATAATTGAAATTTTAAACGAGTTGCAGAAATAAAGAATTATTAGATGACAGAAATATATGATAGTCTTCGGATTGGAATCATTCTGATAATATTTCAGTTTACAATTAATCGTTCCTCGAGCGGTACACGTGTGAAGAGATTTTCTATATAAAACTAAGCATAAAAACATAAAACCAAAATCCTATTGTTTTTTTTTTTAAAAGCTTTTGATTTTGTTTCTAAAAAAGACCTCATGACGTAGGAGACAAATATCTAAAGTAAGAGTTTTCCAAGGTTATAGCTGTAAGCTTTCTAAGAAGAAATAATATGCCATAACAAAGCATTCTGCATATTAATTTTCAGATGACCATAAATTGGAAGTGTGCGAAATGAACACGAAAAAATAAATGTTTCAATGGAAAGTTGGAAGGACTTGTTTACCTGAAATATGAAAGTTTTTAATTTTCGTTCTCACGTAGAATTTGTATCTGTTTCTAATTTAATAAAATAAATCGAATCCTTTAAAATAATGTTTATACTGAGGTAGTTATAATTATTCATAACCACAACGGTTTTCAATAAAACTATGTCTTTGCCATTCCTTGAAGATTCTAAAACTTTTAGTTCCTAAGACTATACGTTGTATTTCAAAACTCATTGTTAATCGCAAAAGTCAAGTGATTTTTGAAGAGAAAATTTGAAACAGGCTTATTGTAATGCAATTGTCCAAAAGGTATTGATGCTGTGAAGAAACTCTATTTTTTTAAGATTCAGAATCAATGAATTATAAACCTTTTTTTCGGAAGTTTAATTAGTTTTCTATAGTTCTTGAAAAGAACTCTTTCTGTCTACTTCTTCCAGAATCGTTTTCGTTGTATAACAGAAGCCGCTCTGGAACATTTGCTTTGATTGTTGAATTTAGCGCAAAGCTATCCGTACATTTCAAGTTGTATACTAGAAGGAAGGTAACGCCGTCCAGCACCAACGGTCAGGGTAGTCTTTCACCAAGTGCGTTTTACACACACATTATAACGATTGAAATGGCAAGCATGTTCGATGATGGGATTCGATCCCGCGAACCGCAGATTGGAAGTCGAATGCCTTAACCACCAGGGCATGTAACGACAGAAGTAACTGCATAGCTCAGGCCTTTTGTAGACGTTTCATTTTAGATCAGGATAGTTGTTCGATAAGATGGTGAACAAGTATTTTTTTTTCACCGATTTATAGTTCACGAATTTTGTCCAAATGTCTTTGACTAATATCTTTTTTTCGTACTAACAACACCTTTATCAGTTTGCTAGGATTTGATAATATTCTTTGTTCAGAGATGACTCTAGGTCTTCGTTTAAACGAGAGATGGTACGTTTCAGGCTATAAATAGATCTATACTTTTCACATATATGATTTTGTGAAAAAATCATATTGCATAATTCTGATTACGGTTCAGTAAGATATGGTTTTAGCATTCTTGAAGAAAACTGATTTTTTTATTTGTCTTTTTTGAACAAGAAGTAATTTTTCTTAAGTTTGATGAAAGAATTTTCGTTTGAAATATTCACAGAAGGATGCCATAACGTAAATGGAAAGACAAAGATAGGCCGAATGACGAAAAACGGCATAAGTTCAAAGCAATCAAAGATGTAAATAACTTCCCAAAACTTCTACAATAAAACTTTAATACATCCTGGTTAGATGCTTCGGTCTTCAAAGAATTCCTTCATTTTTTACAAGTTTTACGTACACACTTTCAAGTTTAAGGTGTTACTAAGTATGATAAATTCAGTTTCGCCAATATATATGTATGATCAAGATAGAATAACTTATTATTTTCATTTCCCTCCTTCCTCCAGTTTCTGGGTTCGAAATTCTTTACAGTTTTTGAAGGTTTAAACTGTATTGAAAGTTACCTTTCAAATTTGAATGTAATCCAGCCTGACATTAAGTTCGTAGTCGAAAGTAAATTTGATGATAAGATTTCACTTTTGAATGTTTTAATGGAAAAAAAAAGACATAACGAATTTCACAACTCCACTTTTCGTAACTATATAAACTAATTTTCATATAGTTAAAAATATTGGTTCCGCTAAGCAAGCTTTTCTAGCTAAAAAAAAATGTGTTAAAATCAAAGCTGCATCTCGAGATAAATATCTTTTCAAAGTGGTAAATAAAACTTTATTGACTTAGAATATTAATTACAGGGCAAGAGATAAACAGGTAACTCGTTTTTTTATTTAATGTTGCTGCACATTCCAAAACTCTCACGTACTATTCAGAAAGTGTGGTAAAAACTGTTAGAGTGTCATATGGTCTTCAGTGTAAAATTCCTTTCCCCCAGGGAAATATTAGGCCAGTATATCAAGTTAAATGTGAAGACTATGATATTTCTTATGTCGGATAAACTAACCGATAGCTTTCAACAAGATTGAAGAACGTTTGTAAGCTCCCTCTCGTGTATTTGAAAACGTGGTTAAAAATAATCAGTCTTTTGATTTTTTTTCAAATGCAGAAATCACTGTCAAAGAAAACAGTGTATATAGTAGAAAAATTAAAGAAGCCTGTCCATCAAAGAACAAAAACCTGGCATTAATAAATAAGCAGGTATACAGTTAAATGCATTCTCGCTACTTATCTATAACATTATTGTTTAATTACGGATTGTCATTGATGATATTGCAGCACGTGACAGTTCTAATCAAATATTGCCACCCGATTATGGCATGTAAACCAATGGAAACGCAGCTCTCTTAAACAAATTATAAACATAATTATTTATCCGCAAGTAAAAATATTTGTTTGCTGAACCTCTATGCTTGTTTATGAAATAAAAATATTTGTTTGCTGAATCTCTATGCTTGTTTATGAAGTAAAAATATTTGTTTGTTGAATCTCTATGCTTGTTTATGAAGTAAAAATATTTATTTGCTGAATCTCTATGCTTGTTTATGAAGTAAAAATATTTGTTTGCTGAATCTCTATGCTTGTTTATGAAGTAAAAATATTTGTTTGCTGAATCTCTATGCTTGTTTATGAAGTAAAAATAATGCAAACATCCTAAGATGATTTTGCGAAATACAATTTATGTTTTCACACCCCGTGGAATTATAACTACTCTGTGTTTCTTCTCTCTGTGAAGATTAATTTTCGCTGTATGTCATAAAATTATTTGTTTTTTTTTACTGGTTTAGAAAAAAGGAAAATAATTTTGATATGAAGTGTACCTGCTTGGCTTACATTTAAAAGATCCCATTTGTTGATAGAAAACAACCACAGAATTCTTAACGATGACAACATTTAAGCATTGTCTTTTT